CTTGACACTGGGAATTTGATCTTGGTCCTCAGAACGGAGGGATCTCTGGGGTTGGTATCCATGGCATCATATCTCCTCTCAGCCTTCTCTTCTTCAGGCTAAACATGCCCAGCTCCTTAAGCCGCTCCTCATAGGGCTTGTTCTCCAGACCCTTGATCATTTTAGTCGCCCTCCTCTGGACACATTCCAGCTTAGAGTCAATATCTCTCTTGAATTGTGGTGCCCAGAATTGGACACAATATTCCAGGTGTGGTCTAACCAAGGCAGAATAGAGCATGGGGAGCATTACTTCCTGTGAAGCTCTTCCCACAGATTTGCGATGCGCCTGAGAATTAGGCCACGCATAACAGTACAATATCCATTGTGTCCCCGATTAGTTGGTCCAAGTTCACTGAAAGGTCTACCTGGCTAATACCTGTGGGAACAAGTCCAGGAAAATGACTATCCTGGGAAATGTGTATACATTTGTTGAGGCTGGCAGCAGAGGGATAGTCCTCTTACAGGCATATACAGTGGTCGCTCGATGGCAGTGAACTAGAAGAGGAGGATGACGACAATGAAGGGTTATATTCAAAGAGGGTTATGTAGTGTATAAGTGTGTGGGGAGGGTTTATAAAGACTTAAAATAGTGTATAACTACTGAAATAATGCCTTAGTGGATGATCTGCGCCGGGAGCTCGACAGGGGGAGTGTGTCCCTGTTAGTTCTGCTGGACCTCTCAGCGGCCTTCGATACCGTTGACCACGGTATCCTTCTGAGACGCCTCACAGAAATGGGACTTGGAGGTACTGCTTTGCAGTGGCTCCGGTCCTTCCTGGAGGGACGGTCCCAGAAGGTGTTATTGGGTGACACCTGTTCGGCTCCACAACCGTTGTTTTGTGGAGTCCCTCAGGGCTCAGTACTGTCCCCGATGTTATTTAACATCTACATGAAGCCCCTGGGGGAGATCATCCAGAGTTTCGGACTAAGGTGTTATCTGTACGCAGATGGCGTCCAAATCTGTCACTCCTTTCCACCTATTACTAAGGAGGCTGTCCAGGTCCTGAACCGGTGCTTGGCTGCTGTGTCGGACTGGATGAGGGCTAACAAATTGAAACTGAATCCAGACAAGACAGAGGTCCTACTGGTCAGTCGTAAGGCCGAACAGGGCATAGGGTTACAGCCCTTGTTAGACGGGGTTACACTCCCCCTGAAGACACAGGTTCGCAGCTTGGGGGTGATCCTGGACTCATCGCTGTGCCTGGAACCCCAGGTTTCAGCAGTGGCCGGGAGAGCTTTTGCACAGTTAAAGCTTGTGCACCAATTGTGCCGGTACCTTGGGAAGTCTGACTTGGCCAGGGTGGTCCATGCTCTGGTTACATCCCAAATAGATTACTGCAATGCACTCTACGTGTGGTTGCCTTTGAAGACTGTTCGGAGACTTCAACTAGTCCAACGGGCAGCAGCCAGATTACTCACCGGAGCGCCATACAGGGAGCATACCACACCCCTGCTGTGTTACCTCCACTGGCTGCGGGTCCACCTCCGACCACAATTCAAAGTGCTGGTCTTGCCTATAAAACCCTATGCAGCTCCGACCCAGCTTACTTATCCGAACGTATCTCTCTCTACGTTCCACCTCGTAATTTAAGATCTACTGGGGAGGCCCTGCTCTCGGTCCCACCAGCGTCTCAAACACGTCTGGTTGGGATGAGGGACAGGGCCTTCTCGGTGGTGAGCCCCCGCTTATGGAATTCGATCCCCAGTGAGATTAGATCGGCGTCCTCCCTCCTTACTTTTAGGAAAAAACTAAAGACGTAGTTTTGGAGCCAGGCCTTTGGCTAGTGGGCACAACAGCACTTTAGGCACTGAACTCGGACAATAGGATTGTTTGAAAATTGGAAAATGGCTTTATGACCTGCGATTCTGTGATCTGTTCTATGCGGTTATGTAATTTTAATTAATATCACTGCTTAATTGTTATGTAATGGATTTTAGATTGCTGTTTTATATTGTTATTTTGATACTGTTGGCATTGAATAGTTGCCTGTGTTAGCCGCCCTGAGTGAGAAGGGCGGGGTAGAAATGGCCTAAATAAATAACTAAAGTATAAATATTAAAATAAATATAGCATCCTTACTTTGCGGATTTTCACTTTTCGCGGGTGGTCCTGGAACGTAACACCAGCGATAAGTGAGGGAACACTGCACTGCATTTCCTTCTCTAGGAGGTCACTTGGCTTCTAGGGTGGGTTGGAAGAAGTGATGCACCCCCCCCCTGCCCCTCACTTCTCTCACCTGCAAACCACTCCTTTTTATGGCTTCCAGACCAGTCCTGAAATATTAGCCCGTCTGAACACCCAGCAGATTGTGAGATATAGACTGTAATAGGAATCACCTCTTTGCAAAACAAGGTGCCTCTTGCAGAGCTCTCCCTGGCCGTGGCCATTGCACAGCTGTTTGTATTCTGCCAGCGATGATTACAAACACTTCATTGAAAGGAAGTGCCAGGCACGAAGGGCAGCTGCCGCCAGTCCAAATTTGTGTACACTTGGCAAACATGCCTATTTATTTAATAACTTCATATGACAGGTCGGCTCACAAACACGGATTGTTTTATGGACACGACAAATGTAGATCAGAGCATTTCAGCACTTGGTGCCAGGCAAACATCTTTGGAAGAGCACGTTGTTCTGAAGAATTAAGTCTCTTCCATACATT